CTGTCGCCTCCCAGGGGAACAGAGGCTGTCAAGCGGCTCTGCAGATTGGGGTCCAGTGACACATTCGCACCCCTCCCGTGGCCTCTTGTGTTGTAAAAGAAAGAGGTGTCCTCTGCCCTTGGTCCCTCCTTTCTCAGACCCTGGACCTCCCTTCTGCCGCCTGGCACACCCTCTGATTTCCTAACTGCCCCCTCGGCAGCCTGCGTCTCCAGGGGCCACCTGTCCCTTGCGGCCACCACAGTCTCTGTCTTTCCTTTCGCAGCCGCGCTTCTCGACAGGCCTGTCCACACTTGCTGTCTTCCTTCCTCACCTCCAATTTCCTCTTCAGCCCCCTGCTGACTCCTCTCCTCCGTCGAACGGCTGTCGCTAAGGTAATGGCTTCTCTGTTTCTGGCTCACGGACACGTGAACACTTGGACACGTGGACGTGTTTCCAGTCTTCCTCTCACGTGGCTTTCGGCCCTGGTTCACATCTGGTGACACACACACACACACACACACACACACTCCTGTAGACTTCACAGGGACACCTCCTGGAACCCCTAGAACTGGCACGTGCACGTCTCCCAGCTTCTGGAACTTCACCCCCTCCCATCCGCCCCTGGCTCCGAGTCCTGGCTCAGCCGCCTGGTGCGGAGGGCCTGGGGCAGGTCCGTCCCTCCAAACCACCCTTCTCTGTCGCAAAATAGCGTTCGTAATCTTCACCTGGCAGGTCAGGTGGGCCACCTTGCCAGGAAGAACCAGGCAGTATTTTGGGGACTTGAAATCAGATCGATAAAGTACTCGTGAGAAAATATCATGAGAGGGGTCACCGTCAGATTTCCTTACAGGTTGAGTTCCCACGGGGAAGACCACAGAGAGAAGAAAGAAGTGGATAGGGGAGGGGGGGAAAGTAAAGTAGGAAGGAAGAAAAGAATTAAAACACTAAAGAAAAAAAAAAAATAGTAAGCAGGGAGGGGAGACTTAGAAAATATTAATCTACCAAAAACACACCCAGAGAAGGGTTTCCTCTTGTGTCGGGTTGGGCTAAAATAAACAGGAAAAAGGTTTTAAATTGATTATCCCGGGGACAAATCCCAGGAAGCTTTCAAATCAAATTGCCCCGTTTTTGGGGCTTTAAGTCCTTCTATCAAGTTTAACCTCTTTACCTCCTTCATCCTGGTTAAACCCGCCCCGGCCCCTTTGCTGGTGATTAAATCCCGAAGGTACACGGAGTCTTTCAATGAATGAATGGCCAGCAGAAGGCCCCCCCTCCCCCCAGCTGTGTTTTCCAGTTTTATTCTGCTTTCCGCCCTTTTCCCCTAATGAACACGGGGCTAATCTCGGGCCTTGTCAAGGAAGAGGCTGTTAATGAGGTAGCTGCTGGCTTCCAGGGGTTGTCTCATGAGGAGCCTCCTTTGTCTGAGGAGAAAAAGCACGCTGATTGTCATGATGAGGTGAACTGGCGTCTGCAGGGCAGGGGCGACGCAGTCTTCAGGCCACACTAATTTCGGGGCCGGAGCTGGGGTTTCCTTTGCTCTCATTTAAGTCTGGGTCTGGCCCGTTGAGCGGGGTGGGAGGTTGAAGGCCGCTCTGGGGACAGGGCTGCTTTGCAGGAAGTGTCTTTGTTGGGCCCGACACGCAGCTGCATCGGCCAGGCCGGTCCTCCGGGGTGCAGGGCCCCAGCTCGGGTGCGGCGCCTGACTTGTTTCAAAAGCCAGTGGCCATTAAACACTTAGGGGCACCAAATGGTAGGCAAAAAAGCACCGAGTTGTAGGCATAGACCCTGTGGGATCAGCACAAAGTCAGCCTTCACGGGCTGTCCCATCCAGGCCAAAAAAAAAGGTGGACATTGTAGCCCCAGAGGCCCCCGCCATGGGAGGGCATGCTTTGGGTTCACATTCAGGTCCCACGCAGAGAGGTTCAGCGCGCAGTGAGTCAAATGCAGAGGGGACGTTACAACTCGGACCCAGGACCAGAACCTGTGGCTCTTGTGCCCTTCCTATTCTCTCCCACGTGGCCTGCGCCCCCCACCCTGCTGCCCGAACCTCCTGTCTAGTCCTCGAATGCCCCGAGTCGCTCATGGCCGCAGGTGTGGCCTGAGCCTGAAACTTGTGTGTCCTGAGTTTTGGACATTGCTCCCCGCCCGAGGCAGACCCGTTAGGTCACTCCGACTGAACTTCAGGCTCTGGCCAGACCTTCAGCCAAATGGGAAAAACTCAGGGTTAAGTGAAAGGTAGTTGAACCGACAGCTGTGTTAGCGAGAAACCCAGCGGGGCCCCCTCGTCTGCTGGCAGAAGGGTCTGTGTCAGAGACGCTCTCCCCCGAGTCAGCAAAACCCCAATAAAAGCGTCAGAGGGTGCCTACCTCTTGGAGGTGACCCCGATGTCGCCCAGACTAGGGGACTGGATGAAGGTGGCAGTTTTTGAAAATGGGGCTCCCACGAAAACTCCTACCGCCATCCAGTTACTGGAGGGAAGTCATAGAGCAGTTCCTGGAGTTTTTAAGCGAGAGGACACATTTTAAGTAGGAAAAAGTGATCCCTGGGACCCTTCTCACCTCAAACGCGCACCAATAATTAAGGCACGAGCCCAGAGTCATCAATATTCCAGCGTGCAGGCACCTGGGGTTGGAAAGGCGTTAGGATCTTGGGGGCTTCGTGCTCCTTCCTGTAGAGCCCCTCGGTCTCAGCATCTGTCACTAAGTGAATCCCGGAGGCTGGGTGATGGGACGATGTGGTTTCGCCTGAACGAGGGGCCCAGGAGATGTCACTCCTTCAGTCTGAGTTTCTTTCTGGTTTTCTGCTCCCACCTCCACTGTTCACCCTCCCTTCTCTCCTTCCCCAACCCTCCACCCCGTCCCCTAACCCGGTCCTCTGGGGTGCTCTAGGCCAGCCCACAGCTCCCTTGGGTGTCCCAGGACCCGCCTGGCAACACGTGGGGCTCAGTAAGAGTATGTGGGATGTATGTTTGGACAGGTGAGTCAATGAAGGAACTTGACTGCCATACTCAGCTGCTAGGTGGGACTTGCTGGGGACGCCGAGAGTTGTAGGTCAAAAGGGTGGAGGGTGGATTTCGAGTCGCCTCCTGCCCCATTTGGGGGCCCGACCAGTCTCACGCCTTCATTCACTCACGCGTTCACTCCTTCATTCAACAGTTGATCCTTACTGAGCAAGCCCATAGCCCGGCCCTGGACTGGGCGCTCGCCACCGTAGCGCGTCCCTTGATGGCCTCAGCCCCTCGGGAGGGTGGGCCGGGGGGTTGCCCCCGCTGAGGGCGGCCCTCAGGGCTGACCCAGCGCTGGACGGCGGACTCCGTCCTGTAGAAGGTAGGCAGGTGGGCAGTGCGCGGGGCGGGGCCTGGTCACTTTGGCCTGTTGGCTAGTGACCTTAACAGGCCCCCGGAGGAGGCTCGAACGTGCCCATCGCCGGGGCTCCGGGCCTCTGGGGGCCAGCCCCTCCCGCCCTCTCTGCTCCCCCCCATCCCGTAGCTGAGTGCTGAAGGCTGTTCCGCTCCTCGCCGTCATGGGAGCGTACGGACAGCTGTGGTGTGTGTCCCCTCTGGCACTGGCCTTAGAGGTCTCCCTCTTGAGTTGGGGGTCGGTGATCTGGACCCCTCCCTCCATGATACCTTCCTCCCTCTGGGGCTAAATCCAGCTCCTTTGCCCGCCTGTCGTTGGCTGGGGCCTGTGCCATGCAAAGGACAGAGGGCTGGGAACCTCCAGGGAGCTCCGTAGGCTCTGCCTCTGCCTGGCTGCCTACCTGCTCTGTTCTACCTGGCGGCTCCTCCCCCTGGCTCTCCGCTAGCCAGATTGGTTGCCCACCTGGAGCCCTGCTTGCCACAGTCTCTCGCTCGGCTTGACCGACTCCCCCCTCTGTGCCTGAGTCACCGGCTCATGACGGTCTGGGCCTCAGCTGCCCAGCCCCCTGCCTCACAGGTTGGTTTTCCTGGCTGAGCCCACACCTGTGTTACCTGGCCCTGCCTGCTGCCTCACCCACCTTCCACCTGTTTACCTGTTTACCTCTGGCCCTGCTGCTGGGTCCATATATTCCTACCCCAGCCCTAGAAGCCAGTCCTCAGTGCTGCCCAGGTTGCCAGCAGGTCCCCAGTGCCCCTGGGGGACAAAGCCCCTGCTGGCATGCCACCTCTGATCACACTCAGAAGCCGCCTCCTGGGGGCCTGGCTCCCCGGGTTCCGAGTGACACTGTTCCACTCCTTCCCCCCCAGACCCCTTCTCGTCGTGCCCAAGCAGGTGTCCCCGCGGCCCGCTCTGGCCCTGCACGTCCCGGGCTCCGTCCCAGGTCCTGGGTCGGTTTGGGGGCTGCCACCCAGGCCTGTGGCTCCGCGCACCTCTTCCCGCCATTGCTCATACCCATGAGCCACCTCCCTCCACCGAAAACCAACTTCAGGTGAGACTGGGCTCGGTGCCTTCTCTTGATGCACGCGAGGCTTTTCCGGGGTGCTCGCCTTCCTGTGATTCTGATGTTCTGTCCCTCCCCGAGGACAGCGGCTGCGACCTGGCTGGGCTGGCCGAAGACCCGGATGGAAGAAGCAGGAGACCCCCACCCCCCGGCCCCGGAGGACCACGGCCTCGGACCCCCGCCTTCTTCCCGACGGTCACCTGACGCCTCGCGCCTCCTGCCTCCTTCCTGGTTTGGGGTGAGTTTCTAGCTTTCTCGGGACACTAAGATTTCATTAGGTCCAGCTCATGTCTCTCTGCTCAAGAATGTACACATGTAACCTGGGGGAGGGGCACTGCTTCCAGCTTAACCCGGGAGGCCTGGGGTCCGCAAGTTGCCTTGCCTCACTGAGCCAGCGTGCGTGGGGGCCACCTGGGTCGCCGGCGTGCTGCGGTCCCCATACGGTAAGTAAACTCTGCTCTGGGCCCTGACAACCAGCTCTGGCCAGGCACACAGTAGGTCCTCAACAGAGCTTTGCTCAGCACAGTAATCCCATGAACACGGTGTATTTGTTCTCCTAAGCACTGCACCCCTCCTCCCCCCGCCTTCCCGTTTGGAGATGAAATAAGAATGCTTGTCTGCTCTGTAGCTGGAAAAACATTTCTCTCCCAAGCCATGGTAACGTCAGCCCCTAAGAGAATGCTGGCTTCTCACACACGAGGCTTTGATAATGTCCTTTAATCAAATAGTGGTTTTTGAGTGAGTTCTCGTGGCTTCTTTTCTTCACCCCTGAAATCACAACGAGATGGGAACGTTTTGTTTGTTTGAATAAAATCGGTCATGGTGGGGAGGGCAAGAGGAAAGCCTAGAATTCCGGCTGCAGATCCCTCCAGGACTCACCGCGTGTTCATCCGTGGTCCACTTATTCAAGACGCACTAATGGGACCTTTGGGGGCTCGGGGCCGAGGTCCTCGTGGGGTGCCTAAAGCCATTGGAGGGGCAAGTCAGGGATCTCGGGAGGTCCCATGCAGTGACTGGGCCCATGTGGCAGCTAAGCACAAGGCGGACAGGAAGAGAGGAGGCTTAACCGAGGGTCCCGGTTGGTGAGCCCGTGGGAGGGGCGCGGGTGTTTTCAGAGCCAGCGGCCCAATGGGGCTGAGCTGGTGCGGAGTTGGCTCAGCACCTGGCAGGCCTCAAGTCTGCCGTGCCTGGGGTAGTTGCCCGGGTAAGTGGATGAGTGTAGACTGCCCAGTGGTCTGGGTGGGAGAGGCCGGGGGTGAAATGGGTTCGATCCTCCAGAAGCCAGCATCTCCCCGTGACGCTTGCACACGGGGTCTCTGCAAGCGGCAAAATGGGAACACGGCTCCGCGCTTGAGCTGGCGGCCCTGCCTGCCGTGCCTTGCCGTGAGTGCAGCCCGCCGCCCAGCAGGCAGAGCAGCCTGCTGGGCCCCCGTGGGCCCTTCCCTCAAACGCAGGTCTCCGAGACACTCCTCTGCAGCCCCTGAAGTGGAAGTGGGGTGTAGACATTATTTTTAAATAAAACGCATTGGCGTAGGCAGAGAGGGGCAGAGGGATCCAGACTGGGGGCTGTTGCTTTGTCTCTTTCTGTTCCTGGGGGAGCCCGTCAGGCCGGGGAGAGGCGGGGAATGTGCCCAAGGCCAGACCCAGGCAGGGGGCCCCCGGGAGACGCTGCCCTGTGATATTTACTCCACGGCTGGCATTTGCTGAGCCACTTGCAAACGGTGATGTGGAAAAGAGGCCGGGGCCATGCGCTTTATGCAAGGCAGGGTGCGGCACTCCTGGGAGCGGGGGGCGGGTTGGGGTTCAGACCCCAATGTACCAGAAAGATCCGTGGAGCTAGTCCTAGCCAAACGCCCAGGGCTTCCAGACCGCTTCTTAGGGGCACCTCAGGCTCCCTCCAGGCGGGCTGAGCTGCGGGGCAGAGTCAATGGCCCCCACCTCACCCTGCTCAGCGGTTGGGGGTGGCCTGTCCTCGGGCTGACCCGTATTTCAGGTGCACTCGTGAATATTCAGTCTCAGGCAAACACATATTTTGTGTTTCGTGTGTCACAAACACAAAATAGATTAAAAAAATAGATCGAATTCTCAATTAAAGAAGTCGAAACATAACATCATAAATCAGCCTCGTAGCCAATCATCCCCGATTGCAGAAAGACCATTATTAAGTGTTGAAAGATACTTATTTTCAGTAGGTTCTGTCTTTGGTGGGTTGGCCCATCCTCGAGCCGTAGGGGCTAGAAACGTGACCCTGACCGGCCACACAGCCAGAGGACCTTTCCCTGCAGTGGGAGGGGCCACTTTGTTCATCGTAGGAAGCTGTTCCCTGGGGGCCGCCTCTAGCTGGACGCGTCCGGGTGGGCACAGATGTCGGAGGCGAGAGGGTGGCCTCGTGTGGAGGCTGGCCCTGCTGGCCCCCTTACCCTCCCCTGGGGCGGATGGGAGCTGAGGGACACACTCGGCCTCCCTGCTCACGAAAGTGAAAGAGGGCCCTGCGCTGTCACCCCCACATTCCCCCGCCTGCAGGTTGCTCGTGGGGCGGGTTGCCGCTTCCGGGGTCCCTCGCCCCGTGCCTCCTGACTGCGGCTCAGACCCCAGGTGAATTTTCAAGTGCATTTCTCCCAGTCACGTCGGAACCTGGCAAGATGAGGGCATAGGGCGCGTGCGTTTCTTGTGGGTTCCTTTACACGAAGCAACTCAAACGTGATTTTTATGTGCGGTCTGACTTCCAGAAAGAACAAAAGCCCTGCCCATCTTTAACGAGCTTGCTAATGAATTTCTCCTTGAAAAGAGAGAGGCGGCTGTACGCAGAAGTGGGTTTTCGAGGTCCCACAGGGTTGGAGAGCAGGGGACAGTGACAACCAGCATCGTCGGCGGCATCGGGGTGCTGCGGAGTTTTCTTTTAAGAAGACAGGAATTTAACGAGTGGTGGATAAGTCCCAAGGACTAGCCCCTGTCTCTCTGCAGCTTTCAGCCCTGCCCCCCTCCTCACAGAGGAGTAGGGGTGCATGGCTTGGTCTCGTACTCCTGGTTTGAGCAGGTGGAACATTCTGGACAAGAGTTGTATCTCTCCAAATGAGGTCTATTATGGGGTTCCCACTCGGAAAGAGGGAGACCAGTCTGGGTAGGGCGGGAGGGAAGGCCGTCACCACGGTGCCCCTTTCGGGGGGCAGTGCCGACCCCGTGGGAAGTCTGAGGAAAGGGGGCTGTAGGGGCGGGTCCACCTTGGGGCAGAATGAGTCAGTGTTTCAGAGCCAGGACAGGTGCAAAGGGAGGGCACCCCAGAGACTTCACCGAGAGGAGGCCTGTCCCCAACAGTGTCCCCAACAGTGTCCCCTCCTTCTCAGGAAGGACAGGACAAGAGCGGGGAGAGGGGTGGCGAGTTCGACTGGGTGCAGCAGAGCCAAGGCGAGCCGCCCAGTGCCCGAGAGGTGTGTCTCTGAGGCGTCCGTCCACCCTGCGACCTCCAGTGCTTTCTGGGTTTTAGTCGTTCGGTCCTTCACCCCAGTCTTCGCTGGAAAACTGGTCGCTCTCGCCATCTCTCGGGAATTGAGTGAGCTTAGGTCTCCGGAATTATCTGTGATTGTCTCCTCAGCTCCCCCCACCCCCCGAGGCCTTGGTGGTCGGGGGACCGCTGGGCCGAGCAGGTGCCGGGTGGCGGAGGCGGGGTGGCCCCCACCTGGGGGATGTGTGTGTGAGAGAGGAGTTAATTAAGGGAGAGGAGGGTGGCAGGGTGTAGTCATGACTCTTAATTGCTCTCCAATTTCTTTGGGCTTAAAAAAAAAAAAACCCAGATGGAGGCGTCTTAAGTCGCCCACCCCGGGGCCCGGGCGTGGGGGGTTGGGGGGGTCTGCCCACCACCTTCGCAGGCTCCTCTCTGTGCGGTGAATAGGAGGTTTGGCAGGGGCTTAAGGAGGAGACTCTCAGCTGAGGTCTGGGCCTACGGAGACAAAGGCCGGCCAGGAAGGGATGTGGCGCCCCGCGGAGCACAGCCACCTGGGGGTAATTGGGAGGGCTGAGTGCACATGAGTTTTCCCAGGTCCCTGAATACATTCTTTCAATAGAAGGTGCCTTTTCTTCAGACGAATGGAAGAAAACCTCAAATACCTTCTCCCGAGGCCGAGGGTGTGGGAGCGTGTGTGTCCCCGCGGGGGGGCGGGGGGGACGCCCGCCGAGGCCCCCTTGCCCTTGTGTGTGTGTCTTCAGAGACGCGCACAAGAGGCCGCACAATGGCTCGGCCAGTCCCCGCCCCCCACCCCGGCCGCGTGACCCCGGCCACACTCATGCCCCTCGT